AGGAAGAGACACAAGAGTTTGATCCTATTGCATCAGAATATATGGACATTGATCATTACACGCTTAAAGATAAATATTATGATACGTATGTATTGTATAACAAAATAGTTGTCTTGTATAACACGTATAGCATAATTTTATCTTTAACCTATAGAATGATTACTAATGATTACTATATTAGATATTTACCCAGTCTTTCACAAATTATGCGAGCGGGCGGGTATAATCCAAAATTTACTTATGAACGATCACTTCAGGGTGCATTTTCTGGCATTTTTTCATTCACAAAATCGGAAGATTCTTCATGAAAGTGAGTTTATTACCATTTTTAGATAAATAGAATTAACATAGAATGCTTGTATGAGTTTCTGGCGCATATACATATATATACCGTTACACAAAACTTTCAACTTAAAAACAATAGCTAACTATTCAATCACGTGTGGCTGTTTGAATGGCTACGGATGTATCCGTTTAGTATTGTACATGTCTTTTCCGCAGTAACTTATCATTATGCGTTAGAAGCATCTGAAACAGGAGTCGAATCAGAAAAAGTAAAAAACTTGTATAAGAACAAGTTTTTTCATACTTCAAGATAATGAATTACACCAAATTTGTCATTTAGCAAGATTTGTTGTCAATTTTTTATGAGTGATGACTTATCAAAATTGGTAATACGATTGATTTTATGATAAAAAATGTTTGGGGATCCTATTTAAAGTTAAGAAAAGAGGGATCCTTTTTTTAATTTTGTTTCGGGGTATAGTCTTAAAAAGGAAAGACTATGGATCAAAATAAGTGTTTATACAGAAAATAAAGTTTTCAGTTTAAACTTGAAAATTGCGCCTTTGTATATAAGATCTAAATCAGAAATCTGTTACATCTGTTTCACGTCAGGTTAAGAAAAAAAAAAACGTGGAAATTACTCTAGAATGAATCACGAGATGTTAATTTCAAATTTAGATTATTATTAATGTTGCATAATATTAAAGGATCGCGCTTTTATTTATGATAATCATACCCAGCGCCCATTGTACTTTTTTTTATTTGTAATAAAAAAAATGCTTATCTGATTGTGTACGATTTCCTTTTTGTTGATTTTTTTATATACAAACCAAACCTTTATTGGTACACTTTGATCAGATGATACAATTTACGTGATATTCCATTGTTACTAATTCAAAGCCAAGGACAATTTGGCATAATGTAGTGCAAATAATTCCAAATAAATGTAAAAAGACCATATGGCCGTATTTATTACCAAATTTATGATAATGATAGCACAAAGCAATCAGTATCGCCATAAAAATTTTACTGTCACGTGATCGTGCCAAAAATCTTTAAGTTCATTTAGGTTAGGGTTAGGGTCCGCGCTAAG